ATAGAATTATTCCAATAATATATATAGCAAAATGTCGTTAGGCAACTAACGAACTAGTCAATTCATTGTTTCCTAGTTACGCCATGTGTTTTATTGCAAGGCATCTCTATGTTCCGACATAAACCTACTTTCGATCAAATTTGTTATGGTCGTATTTTATTATATTTCCCTCCCGTCCGTCACCACGTAGCATACGTAACGTACTACCGTAGCTAAAAGAATTTCAGATAAGTTTAACTGATAAATATCGCGTTTTAAACCGTTAAATTGTTTTATTTAATTAAATGTGTACCACTCGCGTAAACTACAGACAGTATTTTGTGTTTCCATTAAACAATACTCTGCCTCGCAGTTGTACCAGTGTCCTAAGATATATTATCTTTTCTAAGACCTATGACATCTATGTTACATAATTTTTTACCTATCTCCCAACGAAATTCGACTGAGCCGATACTTATTACCGACATAGAAACATAAACATTACTTGTTTAATAATCCTTCATACATGATTTGTTGGAAAATCTAAGTTCTTAAAATTTATTCCTTGTGTAAAAAATATGATACTTCAACATTATTCATTAAAATTTTAGTAGTAGGTATATACAACACTAAGAATTTGAGTATTATAACAAAAATATATGCTATTTACACTTTCAAAAAATTACAATTGTAATAATAGAATAGATAAGAAAAAAAATACAAGGAAATTATATCCTTGTAACTTAATATTATCTTCCGGGTAATCAAATACTAAATAGTAATAATCTTTTATCAACGATACTATGATAAATTTTTAAACTATCTTTAGCTTTTAGTATAGATTAGGGAACTGCCCTTGTTTGTGATCTTATCCTACCATATTTGGTAGTATAGGTCAATCTTCATGCACCCGATTAGCACAACATCGAATTCCGGAAATATAATATCAGTTTGTAATTTTTTTTCGCATCCGGACCCTTGATATCTTCAATGATAAGTATCACATAACACATCCGTTCATATTTGAAGCATGAATGGTTTAATCAAGGATAGGCTTGTGTTAAGTACAATAAGCACTACTTATGTGTCAAAATAATAGGGGAAAATATGAAAAACTGAGGGTAGATGTATGTATTTAAGTTAAACGGCTTTAACGGGTTAAATGCGAAATGTATTAGTTATGTACGAATTGTTTTAGCTACGGTTTGAAGTTTCGGATGTTTTGCAGCAGCCATGACCATGGAAAGACCTAATATTTCGCATTTTAAACCGTTGAAAGTGTTTTATTTAAATGTGTTACTCTCGCACTACAGACAGTATTTGTATGTTGGTATATTACTTAAAAGAAATTGCAATGATTTTGACAAAACGTCATGTTATACACAAAGCTAGTTCAGAATAGAAAAATATTTTTTTGTGTTTTTTTTTTTATAAATTAATCATAAAGACAATCTAATCATTTCATTATATTGTTTTGTACGAGGCTATAGTTGCATGTGTGTTTACAAAAATGTCCGAAACATGACTTAAACATCTCAGACTATTGACAAAGTCAACTGTTTGTATTAGATAACTTATCTATTTGGCACAGATACCCATCCTACACTTTTATGACCACTGTTTAAACACCTGGGCTTGCAAATAAAAGATTTTAGTCTCAGAATTGTGTAACATGAAACTTTAAAGCTATTTTGTATTTGAAAAGAAAAACATCTACAGATAACTATAATATTAAAGTTATCTGTATCTATGCATATAGACATAGCCTAACAAGATCACTATAATATTATGGTTATCTGTAGTTGCTTCAATTCGTTTACCACAGATAAAATGCAGGAAACGTCATTGTTACACAGAGACCGAAAATATTTATATGGAGAAACATTTTGACCGTTTTTCTGCAAGCTAGATCAAATGTTTGATAAATATTTCATTATTAATTATCCTAAATATTTTAAATTTTCTGTTTTTCAATAGCAATATAATGATTACTTAACCATCCTCGTAACGCACGGCTGCGCTTATATAGCCTGGTCTAGTTCAAAGGTCACTAACGAATATCCAATTACTGTACAACCTTCAAAAGTGATGACTCTGTCTCAGTGCTTGGTGAATTGATGCGCTCACGCAACGCGTTGAAATGCGTTCCAACGTGATTTTATTCAGTTCTAGGTATATCAATGTTGTGCTATTTTTACATACATATTTTAAGATTTATAAGAATTAGTAATATATTGTTACAAAACTTGAATAACAGGATTTATATTTATAACGCCATCCAAAAATTGTTAGGAAACCCGCAAAGTTAAGAATTTTACAAAGTCTAATTTTAAATCAAATACTTTTTAACCGTCGCTTCTTAATTCGAAACATCAGGCCTCATTTAAAATAAATTAAAAATAAGTTTAAATAATATATCGCGTTTTAAACCGTTAAAGTGTTTTATTTAAATGTGTAGCGTAAACTATAGACAGTATTTTAATTAAAAATATTATTTTAAAAGGAAAGATGTAGACGCATTTTAAACCGTTAAAATTTTGTGCTATAAATTTTAGTTCAAAATTTAATCAAAAGTTTTGTATGTTGGTACTATCGTCTTTTATAGAAACGTATAACCTACTTGTAAAGCAATAATATGTAGAGCAAAGTTTTATTATACACCTACATATTTATATGAATAGGAATTCCATCAAATATCCTAACCAAAGTGAAGCTTTGTCAAGGGAAATCTATTGAATGGGTTCCTATAGACCATAGACCCTAGAGTGGTTGTTATTAAAGGAACAGCTGATGTTATAAAAACATGCACCCTCTTCCATTATTAGCTACACGTTAAGGATACAAAAGAATGCGTTTTATATAAATTCCTGTGGATAGCAAGAAAAAAAAATGGTAGTCATAGCTATGGTTAAATAGTAGTTACCTAGTACCTACCTATATTGATATAAATTAAAAATATTATTTTAAAGGGAAAGTTGTGATTATTGCTTTAGCTTAATAGCTACATAGTACATACTATGAAAAACACAAATTTAGAGATCATAAATTATAAACTTTTTACATAAATTCTTGGACACTAGTATAAGAGAACTAAATCTCCAAGAAAGTTTTAATTTAAAGGAACAATTCATTAATAACTTCTTGTGCTAAAATACTCTCGAAAAAAGTTATTGCAAATTGAGACGCGTCAAGAATGTCCCTTTTCAAAATGTAATCAACGACTTTTTAAACTTATGTGTGCACGGTTCGCTTCCCACCAGTAGCTTGCACATGGCATCGTGGAATTTGACACGCAGATGTTCGTTCCGCCACAGACAATAAAATACCTAATAAATATTGCAACAGGACCGATACAGCACATTTCAATATGAAGGCTTTTTTCAAAGTTTGACGCGGAGAAAGCGAAACAGTTCAGTCATGAATCGCGTTATGCTTTTTCGATTAAAAGACAAATCGAGAAAGTTGTGACAGCGCGTTAACGCATGCGCGTGAGTTATGGCGCGTATTACGAGCGAAGCCTATTCGTCTCTTAAACTCATTTTAATAGTCAATGGCCAGTTAGTTGGAGTTAACGGACACAAACTTTGTACGCTGTAAGCTTGTAAATGCAGTCTGCATTCCATTCACAAGAATTCGCGCCTGAGCTAAGCTGACAGATTACAAATGTCAAAGTTTTTAAGTTTTTATTAAAGTTTGTGCCTATTTGAAAATGGAATGTAATTATTAACAGTTAATACATTCAAGTCTTACAACTGCCTCTAAGTTGGTAATTTTGCAGTGCAAGTTTTATTTCTTATATTCTGTAATTTGGGTAAATTAATTAATATACTACAAGTACTATAGGACATGGTAGCTCAATTGGTTAGAGCCACAGCACGGAATGCTGTAGATGCGGCCGGTTCAAGATCTGCCCGAGTCGTAAGTTTTTAATCGATTTTTAATTTTTACTGCAGGTAGTTAAATATTTGAAAATTATTAGACATACATTCAGCAAGTTTATGGTTATTTATGATTACGCACCATAAAATAAATTCAAACACTATTGACCATTTCTGATTTAAGTGCAATTTTATGTTTGTGGATCTAAAAGATATTTTGTAATGGCGGAACATGTAAACGAAGTAACACCTACACACGTAAAATGCTTAAAGAAACGAGGTTTTTTAGTTTAATAAAACCTAATAGAAAACAATACCTAGGAAAAAGACACGTCTTGTCGACATGACTAAATTACATCAAAGAATTATTAAAAAGCTACGTTTAATAAAATATAACCTTTAAAATCTTATAATAAAACTAATTCGATTTATTTAAAAGCTTACTAATAAAAAAAGCACATTTTAAGACGGAAGCAATAATGTTACAAAATGTATCGATAATGAATTCCGGGTCGAATCGTTATGTAATTAATTCCACCATCACTTTCATGTCTCAACGGTCAAACATGTCTTAAAACCTACAGCACTTGTAAAATCGATGAAAGACCTAAATTATTTAGAAAGGCATCTAAAGGTGAAAGTCATGTACTGTCGTGCTTTGCAAAAACTCGCATCTCTGTACGGCCTTGTCAAGGTGACTGCAAAGGGGACAAATGTAACGGTGTGCACCGGCTTACCTCACCACAACAACGATATGTACACACAGCATCGCAATGTCTGCTAACCATTGACGAGTGCACACTAGTCCCACTGATAACCAATAATCAAAGCGGTCAATGTAACCCGAAATTGCAAGACGCCGCATTCTGCACCGTGAGAAACAAAACACGTAGTACATTTCCTTTGGTACAGCTTAATGGCTAGCTAATATTGCTTTTGCATTTTGGACAAGGAACCAGTTAGATTTAACTGCTTTAAAGTATATTGTTTGTAAACACATTTGTGTTAACTAAAATCCTTAAAGTATGTGAGAGCTTTTTATAGATTATATTTTAAGTCAAAAATACGAAAATCAAAATACAGACTAAAAATGAAAATATAGTCTATATAAAAGCGGGGTCGGTAATTGCGAGGGGAACTTACGATTTGGCTGATTTCCGTGATGGGGATCGGCGAAATTGTTTTCTCCGATCCCTGCGGGAGAGAAGATGCACTAGGAGTCGGGGAGACCCCTGGCGAGCTCGGCTGGACATTGACCACGCTCTCCTTAGACGTGCGATTTGGGGATAGCCTCGAAGGAAAGCTAAGCGTCTTCGTCCACTGCGAAAGGCTTCGCACCATCTTGAATGTTCATTAACACAACACGACACAGAACTATGCGTACGATTTGCACGTCCGCACACAACGGACGCCGGCGAACGAGTAAGAGCACTGAAGTAAACACCAAGCCTGTGCTTGTTGCGACGTGTTGAAACGTGTGTGTGTGTGTGTAGGGTGACCGTTTAAGTGTGTGAATTGTGTACTTATGGAATTGGGAGCTGGTTGCGCTGCGAACTGATCTTTTGTTTGTGACCCCGCGGCCGTTGCATCTCGGGTGTTGCAAAGATATTTTAGCATATTATCTAAGTGTTATTGATATCTGATGTAGATATTATTGATTAGATTTGTTTATTTAGGTTATCATGATAGTGAATGTAGAAGAATGATTTTAAACTCAATTGTCTGCCTAATGCAATTTTGGAGTTTTCAAACATACTGTTTGTAGTTTACGCGAGTAGTACACATTTAAAAAAAACACTTTAACGGTTTAAAATGCGATATATGTTTCTTAAACTTAGTTGAAAATTATTTTTAACTTTTAAAAGTGTTTTATTTAAATGTGTGCTGCTCGCGTAAACTACATTAGAGACGATATTAATTAGATAGGTATACCGTATATACCACAATTCTTTTGTCTGATCAATAAAAATGGGTAGGTACAAAGCTATTTTTTTCTCTTGCCACTATAGTTCCTACTTATTTGACTTAGTTTAAGAAAGGGGATACAAATATAAATCGTTTTTTTTTTTAAAAAAAAAAACAAAAATGACACGCATGGTACTTATTAATAAAAATTCAAAAACATTTTTACAAACTGATATAAATATGGACTTTCTTTAAATAATCGTGTATATTACATCAAATAGAAACGTTTTAGCCATCGTGTTTGACGACCTATAGTCATTAAAAGATTTGAAACGCAATATGAGTGCAAAAAATAACTGCACGTGGCATTCCATAGGGTGGCACCCTTCGATTAATATAAGATGTGTGGGGAACAAAGAATGTTATTTATGGCCCACCCCAGCTATAGCGAATTATTTCTCTGACTTACATTTTATGTAATATCACGTTACAGAATTAACGTAAAACCTTCATAGATTATATCAACTATATAAAAATATAATCAATGCAATTAAGTAGTTTCTTGGTGGAAAAAAACCGCAGACAGTTTATGAACGAACTGGCTTGCAAAAAAAAAATATTAAAAAAGTATCCATAGATGGATGTTTTGCCATAATATAAGAAGTTCCTGTCGCGGACATTTGTTATTATTTCTTTTATTATTTTGGATACCCTGAATCATTTACACAGCGCACGCAACAGATACCCACAAAGAGGAATAATTTTCAATGTTTTTTTCTACATACAGTTGAATCCGTTTATTATGACTCTATATTGACCAACCGTTTATTATGACGTCATTATGCTACAAAGTTTGGTTTTCGTTTAAGATTCTTTAAAAAAAAGTCGAATATAATGACTTCCCTAATAAATTGTGTTTGAGGCATTAAAAGTTGCAGAATTATGATCACGAGTCATTCATAGCAATATTAAAAATATAATTTGACCATAACGATGGCTTCTATGCACAATAATATCAGAGACTGTTTTTACAAAAAATTAAAAAAACAAAAGCCAACAAAAGTTATAGATTACTTTCATAAAAAAATACATTTGTATGGGTATAATTTACTTATTACGCGCAATTTTTGTTTTCATTTAATATGTATGTTTACATATATAGTTACTATATTCCTCTATTAAAATATGTACATACATATTTACATAAAAAATATTTTCTTTTTTAGAAAACGCATTGTATGACGTCCGCTTATTATGACGTGTTTGTCAGTTCCTTTCGATGTCATTATAAACGGATTCAACTGTACTCCGCTTTTTATTCGCACATACCAAATCGATAAAAAAAAATACTTTAACCAGTACTTTCTGAGATAAGCGCGTTCAAACAAACAAACTCTTCAGTTTTATAATATTAGTATAGATGATCGCCGATTTTAGCGTTCTTTGAAGCACCAGGGCTGTTTTGGTAACATATATTTTAAGTTAATTTAATGGTAAACTAAGAGCTCTCAGGAGGTGGTACGCACTGCAATCCGAAACAATGGTGTGCAGGATTGCGTGTTGCAACTTCCGACGCGACACGTGCGCAAGCGCAGCTGCCATGTACCGCCCGGAGCGCATGCGCATAAGTGGAAATCTTAAATTTAAAAAAATAATGTCCCACAAAATTCAATACTGTCTGTAGTTTATGCGAACATACATTTCACTTTAACTGTTTAAAACGTGAAATATACTTACCTATCATAATCATTATTATATTTTCGACTAGTGTTTTATTTAACTTTATACCTTGTATAATTTAACAACGTTACGAGTCGAATGTAAATAAAAACTAAAATATTTGTTTTAAACCAAATTCTCGCGGTTGAATTTTGAAAAATACAACCATACCAACATTCTTCTCTAGTTAAAAAAATCGATTACACAAAAACACAGACAAATGCACTTTTTATAAACAAGGCCACGCGACCCGGCCTGAGAAAACATTTCTTATAATAAAACCGCCCTGTGCGCTTTGTTTGGAACTGGGCTATCTATCAGTTAAAATGTACCCCAATAAAAAGGGGGTGGGAGCATGTGATTGACAAGGCACTTCTGTGTGAACGAGTTATATGAGATCGTAAATTGTTGAATAGAATCAAACATGGACGGGTTGAAAGCACTCAATCTCAGATTACGTTTTAATGGACGAAAAATTAATATGTTTTGTTAAAGGGGTAATATAATATGCTTAAGTTCAGAGAAATTAGAAAATGTAGATATTAGCTTATTAAGGAAGCGTCAAAACAAATATATATGTTACAGGTCTTACTATGAAGTACATGAAAATTTCCTTGTATTAGTGTTTGTGTAAATAACAGCAAAAGAAAAATAATAACATATTTTTTTTTCAAATCCTTAGAAACGGCTGAATTGGTCCTAACGAAATTGGTCTAAACCCAAACGTGATTAAACCTAACAATACTTTCGTTTCGTGAACACTGGTTAGTGACCCGGGCGGAATTTCGATATTTTTAAAACAATTTATACAGTTTTTCCAGACGAAGTATAACGCGTTTCAGCGAATATCTGGGGGAAACGATGTGACCTGTTGTATATTGGCCATACATACTATGACTAGTGTAACCAGTAAGTCCAATAACTTTCATAAACAATATAAATTGATTAGAAATATGTTGGATCCGGTAGGAACCGAACCCACGATGTATCGCGAGCAAACAGCGTCTAAATTTAATAAACTAGTGTACACTGTCTGTAATTACGCAGTTGAACATTTAATACAGGTTTAAAACGCGATATGTATTAGCAAACTTATTTGGAAATTATTTTTAACTACGGCCCAACGTTCCTGATACTTTGGAGCAGCCGTGATACAAAAGATTTCACTTAAACGACACCCTAATTATCATCTTATGTTTTTTAAATAACTAAATAGAAGTTGTTATTTTCGAATTAGACGGAGTATTTGTTAAAGTCGCACGAAATTACTCAAATGTCAATCTCTAAAAACGTTCGCCTATTTCTAGTAGCTGTAAATTATAAGTTGCACCGTACAGCAGCACAGCAGCACCATTTGTGTTTTGTTAAAAGTTAATTATCTCGGCTTATGGCTGTTTTATGCGAGGTATTTTGGTAATGAGGAGAAAATAATCCTGTTGAATAACGACTTTGTTTAAGAGGGGCCGTTCGTTTAGTACGTAAGACAATTATTGCTTGTTTTTGACCCCTTCCCCCACTTTTATAAGATCAAATAAGAATAAATAAAGGTCTCCCCGGGTGGGTACAAACGAAATCGGGAAAAATATTCAAATAAGTTAATAATATATCGCTTTAAACCAAAGTTTTTTTAAAAATAGATAGTAGAATATTTATGTAAATAATTATTACTAAGAATATAAAGAAAAACTGATTTTCGTTTTTATTTGTAGTACTAAACTTTTTTAACAATAATTTTGCCATTGCGCATTTGTGATCTTACTTCCGTAAGAATCAAAAAAAACTCCCTAACGCCCCCTTGTAAGAAATAATAAAACAATGCCTCCATCCAAAGTGTCGTACACAATACATGAATGGCCCTAGAAGACAAGTCACTGAGGTAATTCAAAAATATAAAGGAGAAATTAGAGACTAAATGTATTAGATCATTTTAACTTAATAATCATCTTAGGCTTAAAGGGTTCGTTTAGCGACTACCTTCAAAATAAGTCAAACCTTACCAAGCCCTGGTTAGATATTTTGGCTGGTTCAATATCTAAAAAAAACCCAATCAAATACCGAACCAACGAACCTAGAATTATTTGGTTATATAACATTCAAAGCATGTATAGGGTAGTATAATGTGGTTAAACAAGATATTTCATTGAAATAAGTTTATCGTCATAATCACAACATCATTAGTAATCAAACATCGTTAAGAAAAATTGTGTTTGTTGTTCCCATACATTTTGTTCTCTGTTAAACTTTATTTCAACTATTAAAATTTACCCTTAATACAAAATATTCTAATAACATTTTTATTAAACGCAATGAAATGTAGTCTTTAAAATAATTGAAATTAGGGCTAGATTGCCTTCGTTTTATTCATCAAAGAGTCGTAAGCTGTTTGCTGTATTTCACACGTGCATTTGGGCTCACATCCCCCAATAACAATTTCTGTTATTATCTTTAAACTAATTGTTGTAACAGATAAATTATTTCCTTATTTGAGTGTTGCCCCGGAAATTATCCAATAAAGGTAAATTAATATGTGGGTAACGGTTAATTAATAATAATTATACTATATGTCATTTTTAGTGTTTTAATCACGAAAGGTTTATTTAAACCGATATAATCACGAATTGGTTAATTTCTTGTAAGGTTAGGTTAGTTTTAATAAAGGTGTTATTGGTTTTAAAACTGGCAACACAGAAAAAGTTATTTAACAGTTTTTTCGAATT